TATTTTTATTTAAATAAAAAAATTTATTTGTTATTTAAAATAGTCAAGTTAATTTACATTAAAGTAGAAAACCTGAAACAACTAGAAATATACTACAAAAAGTAGACTCTTAATCATTTGTACTTGAGAGATTTTCCAACACATAATCTAAGAACTCCAAGATTAAAGTATCAATCTCTTATCAACACTCTTTTGGGGAACATGTTTGGTAGTATGAATTGGATAAAAGATCAAATGTCATGTTCAATTCGAGTAGAAGGGTAAGAAAAGGATATTCTTCTTCCCCATTCCCACTGATATGGGAATGCTCATTCCCTGCCTCTTAAAAGTTGCAAGTTGCAAGGGAATGGTGATTTCCCACAAAAGTAAGAATCACATGTGGCTTTTTCTTTTCACTCCCTTAAATCCAATCGTAAAAATTCAAAAACCCAAAACCCTATGTTAACACAAAATCACCTTTTAATTCCATTTTAGTAATGGAGTCTTGGCTGTCTACATTTCCCAATCTCTCTGCACATATTGTCTCAAGAACACCAACAATGTCAAGCTCTATTACGAATCTACTCTTCTTTTCTCCCTTCATCTATCAATTTGTCCGCATGGCCCAATGGATGTATGTATGCTTTCCTTGCGTGGACCGCAATTTGTCGTAACAGTGTTGTTTTCGGTTGGAGAAACCCTGTTATTAGGTATTTCAAGCTTAATGTTGCTGGAATTACTAACGTTTTCTTGGGAGGGGCTGGTTACTGGTGCCTGGAGATCATTTGGGATTGGGACACTTTTTGTTGCTTTATGATCAGACTCTTCGAAAAAATTATTGGGCATTTCAAGCTTAATGTTGCTGGAATTACTAGTGTTTTCTTGGTAGGGGCTGGTCATTGGTGCTTGGAGATCATTTGGGATTGGGACACTTTTTGTTGCTTAATGGTCGGACCCTTCGAAAAAATTATTAAATGGAAAGACACTAGATGCCTCCGCTGCTGCTTCTGATATGGTACTGTTTTGTTTTATTTTTTGTTTTTTCCGTTTTTTGTCCGATCTAGTATTTTGATTAAAAAAGGAATTTTTTAACAGTTTTTTTATTTTATCGGGACACAGAATAAAAAAATTAATTAGTAAGTAATTATCGTTTTTAATATTATTAAAAATATATTTTTTACTTAAAAAAGTAATTATTACAATTTTTTATTTTTAATTTATATAAAAAAATAAATTTTAATTTTAATTTTAACAACTAATTAATTAAAAGATTTATATATCCTATACTAAGAAGATAAAAAGAAATCATTGTATAATAATTATTTTTTTATTTTAAAAATAATAAAATTAAATTTTGTTTTAATTATAAATGTCACATGTTAGTTTTTTATTCGTTTATTTTAAAATTAAAATCAAAACTTTTTAAATTTAAAATTTCATGTTTTTCAAAGATAATTATTGACTAATAATTATTTTTTATTCTGTACCTTTAAGGTTTAAGGTATAAGATAGACAAAACTTTAATTAAACTCAGCCCAATGACATTAATGTTAAAATTAATATTTATTTTTTTATTTTTATATGAATTAATAATTAAAAATATATTAATTATACTTTTAATCTATTTTGAAGGTAGTAGTTAAAAAATCTTTATTAATAAAAAGTAAAAGATAAGTTGTTTTTTTGAATTGACTTGATAAATTTTACTTATAACTTAAAATAAATTAATCAGAAACAAAGAAGACGCATTTGTGATTTTTTTTTTTTTTGGTATAAAAGTAAATTTTCACTAACAAATATCACGAGATATAAGTCTAATAACAAGAAAAGAACATCTTAAAAAAGTGATATTCATGATTTAAATTAAAGTCAACTTTTTCATGTCTTCCCATACAAAAATTAAAGCCTTAATCAATCATTAAAGCTTCGTTAGGCATCATTTGAAAACCGTTCTTTTAAAGAAAATTACACTAATTTTTAAGGTTGGGACTGAGGAAGATTGGGACAGTAGGTATACTTGTCAAACGGGTCAAGCCGACCCAGGACTGGACGGCCAGCCCAGAGGCGAGAGACCAAGACATTCCGGTTCCATTCTCAATAAAATCAATTTCATGATACCAAACCTGCCTAAGTGTGATTGAAAAATGTTCAGATTTACAGGAATTTCTTTCTCTTAAATAATACCAAGTACAAATAGTTGGGGAAACAACGTACCATAGAACTTTTGCATGGTTTTTCTACCTACAGAAAACATCTCAGATTTATGATGAAGTTCTCCATTGCAGCTCGATTTGGATCTTGCCGTTCTTTGAATCAATGAGATGGTACTTTTCATTGATTCTTTTGTTGTTAACCACATCAGCTAGGCTAATAAGAACATAACCCAGATTTTCCTGGTGGGAAAAAAAAGTTTAGTAAGAAGAACAACTATTGGTTTACGGTTTACATATGCAGAAAGATGTACATTAGGAACTGTTTATTATTAAAAAAGAAATCTATAATAACTACCTTGGGATGCAGCAGTCCCATCCTCGAGGAAGTACTGATTACTTCAACATGAAGTTTGTCGTTGATGGGTGGCTCGTCTAGCGTGAATTGGTACTCCTCTTCCCATCTCGGATCTCTGTTTTTCTTTACACGCTGTTCCCAAAAGTGATCAGTGGTCAACAATCATCAATTGTGCATACAGCATTGAAATGTATGACAAGCATTAGGAAGGAAATGAACTGTTAGTTATTCCTACTAAAGAATTCAGATATTGCAATCTGTTTAGGACATTTGTCTTAACATGGTATAGACAGCAACATGAATTTGAGGAATGAGGATGCAGCAACTCACTGGCTAAGATAGATTACACTAAACTGAAATTTTATAATTGGAAAAGAAAAAAACTGGCTTCTTAGAGGACTATTCAGGAAGCTATTTTATTTTTAATAACTAATAGATAGATTGGTTCATGGCATACCTTTGTTTTCTTCTCCTCCCCTCTGAATAGAAGCCGCACATGTGGATTTGTGTGGTACTTCCCTTCAACATCCTCAGCTTCATGGATGATTACCACAAGCAAACCTCCACTAGCTGGTGTTCCTTCAGGAGCTTTCTCTACCTTATTTGAATCTTCAACATCATCTGGTATCTGATCATCTGCAAAAGGCTTGTATTCAACTTCCACAACAATATGCCCGCGTGACTTCTCGTTTTGTGCATCATTTGGGTCCATATTTTTCAAGACATCAAGAGTAAAAACTTTTGGCTCCTCAGGCGTAATATCTTTCAGTGGAATTATGTTCATGCCCATCTTGTTATGGTTGCCAACCTACATAGAATTTCACTTGAGAACTCAGAAAAAAGAGATGCATAGACACATGCACACATAAAAGTCTATACAAGGTTGGATTCAGATGTCTTAAACACTAGAAACTGGAAAGATAGGAAAGTAGATTTATTGAGAAGGCAGAACAGTATTGTGATTTGTGACCCTCTACATTGCATAGACTCATGCAGGATTTTCAAATAGTGACAGACCACAGAACTTGTGATTAATCAGGGAAAAGAAAACAAAGAACAATACCTGTTCCCAGTCATACAGGACAAGCTCCAAGGTCTGAGTTTCTGGGTCTTTAACCACCAAACGAAATTCCTCATTCCATTCAGGGTTCAAGTTGTTGTGTTTCACGGTAGTTTTCTTTGTTGTAGCAACCTTATCCTCCGTCAATCTTAATTTAATATAAGGGTCTGACGACCCAATGAGATCTTTCCTTTTAAGCTTCATTGCTCTAAGAACTTTAACATTGAGAATTCCAACGGGTTTTTTTATGGCTCTGCCAATTTTGAGGAAGAATTAGCAAAGGAAAAAAACAGTGTGATGTTGTAAGTTAGAGCCTGGAGAAAAAAAATTTATAATACGAATACTTACTTTGAAGGATCCATTATTGTTACTTCTAGGGTTTTAGGCCACAGGTACATATTTGCAACTTGCTCCTTTATGAGCTCCTGGAGAAAAGAGCTCAGTAAAAAGTAAATTTAACTCTCCACCCACCTGCCATAGGTACTGGACAAATGAGAAGAGGAAACAAAATGGAGAAGTAATTATTACCTGGACGAACCTGTACAGACCAGGAATGGACATTGCATCTGCCCCAAGCAGCTTCAGTCCAAAGTCAACATGGGGCTACACAATCAAAATTGAATATGAAGATAATGGATAAACTAATAAGGAAAGAAGGAGGCAACAAAGGATCCTACTAAATAGTAAAAAGTACAAACATCTACCAACTGCAGGTGTTCCCTACAAGATAGATGATCTTCGAACTTCAATTATAGTTGCACATATTCTTTAAAAACTAGTGCATACCTTCTCCATGAGAGAAACACATATCTTAGCAAAACAAGGAAAGGCGGGAACCAAAGGCTTCAGGGTGATTCGTGGAGAAGCAAATACTTGCAAATCAACAACCTGAAATGCAAAAAAGAAATCAATGCTGTCTATTGGAAAGCCATATCCAGTGATAACTTCAATCTCCTACTTCTCTTTATAAAATGTGTGCCCACACCACAAATGTCTGCATACACCACAAATGTCTGCATGTCCATCAGCAAGCAAATGCATTTCATCAGGGAAAAGGAGAAAATGTTCTTTTGTTCGGTAAATTTTTTTATGCATATTTCTCTATCTTAATCCGAAGTTATGCTGAAGGCCAAAAAAAGGGAAAAAAAATTCCAGTGTTATGCTGACAAGTACCTGAACAGTGGCTTTCACCCCAAATGCTTTTACTGCAACAATGATGTTGGGGTTTCCAGCCCACCTAAGTGCTGGTTCCATAATAATTTCCTTCTCATCGGTGGTATAAACTTTCATTCCTAGAACAGAAAAAAACCAAGATTGAGAATTGAATCTTGTTATTCATTTTTCCCAGTGTGCGTTTGAGAGAGAGAATGGGTGGACCTTGGAAAGTTGGTGGCAGGGAACCCAAGGTAAGTGTTTCAAATTCAACTGACTGAATTTTATACTTGGGAATTTTCTCAGCAATAATCGGTTTTGCTATATTCTGGGCGGTTGTGCAAATTGCCTGGAAAATTTGAAAGGTCAACACTCTGCGTTAAATCTACAAGAGAGACTTGCCAAACAAATAACAGTCAGGCAAAATAGAAGGTCAAGCATCATTTTCAGTAAAGTACCTTATCCAGGTAAGGCCACATATAACCAATGAATTGGTTGAGCCAGTCAACCTTCAAAGCAACAAAAGCATAAGAAGCTTCTCACACAACTTTCTCAACTTTGGGATATAGAAATGTTAGAAGAAAGGAATAAGGATAGTGGTAAAGGAAACATACTCGGTCAAAATCTGGATTTTTCACCCACAAGGGAATCTCAGGAAGCATGCGCTGTAAAGTTTGTGAGTCTTGCTCAACCAAAGGACAAATTGTAGGACCCTGGACAAAGGATCAAGAGAATAATTAACCATGACACACTAGAAGTTTGCCTATCAAAATTTAAATTTGGCAGTAAAGTTCTCAATTCATTTATGAACAAACCCATATATCTTGAAGCTAGAGAAAAAATATGGTGCCAAAACTTCAGCAGCCCTCGTCTCTTCACTGTTCTGCATAATATGGAATTTGAATTACAACTGGAGATGCTCAGTGAGCAACTCATGTACCACTTTTGTTTATTATTAAATTATCCACTTGTAAATACTTCCCATGAGCCAATGAATCTCCAACAATGGCTCCTCTGCACTCCTACCAATTCCATGGGCTGAAGCCCCTACTTGTCTTAATAACTCTTCATCTCAAGGTCCACATCTTGAAACTTATATGCCACTCACAATCTTACAATCTTACTTCCTCTCTAATGTGGTGGAATTTGGGACATAATCACAATATCAATAAGCACCATTTGGTTTATAATCATCCTAACAACAAGAACTGCCGAAGGACAAGCAAACAATAACCAATACCCTTCTTAGAACACAAAAAACTTTTTCTTAAGCTTTGCAGAATTGAATTTTTCCCTATTATAGGCCTCCAGCCTCAGTTAATGTTAAAAAATACAGCACCTAGGGGTAACATCCAAGGAAATCAAAGCAGAGAACAGCTTAATTAAAGATTAATTTACTAGTTAAGTGAACTGAAAACAGAATTCATAAACTCAAATCGGCTCTGACAACAGCTGAATTGGCAATAAACAATCCCATAAACTGTAAAAAATCTCTTTCTGTGCTCAAAATAACCTCCGCAGTTTGCCATGGTCAACGGATCTATGCAACTAAATGACAAATGAACAGAAACAACAAACACCCATCATAAAACAAAGATGGATAAGTAAATAAACAAGTAATCAACAAGGCACACACAAGAAAACCAGAGAATAAAAAATGATTTGACCAGAAAACACAAGAAAAGAAAAAAAAAAAGCACACAAGAGACGAATGGGGATACAAAGAAACAGACCTCAACATGAGTAGGAAGGAAGTAGATGAACATGTAGTACCCAATCACGAGCCCAATTGAAGTTCCAATTCCAAACCCGAAAACACCCAAAATGGTACTGAGAAACCCCATTTCCAAAATCACTCAAAAATCAAAATCCAACACCCAGAAAAAGAAGCACCCCTCAAATTTTCTTGCTCTGAACCAAACAGCAACCCAAGAAAATCCCAGAACACATCACGGAAAGTACCACTCTAGGCCTGCAACACAGTTGGAAAGAAGAAAACCCCATCAACGCTGCAGAAATCGTTTCATCTTATCAGGACATGCAATAAAGGAGCATTAACTTCTGTGGCCAATCCTTTACGTTCAATGATCCCTCTGGCACAGTCGGGTTTGGACCTACACAACGGCTTTCGAAAAGGAAACTTTCAAGCGCGTGGGAGTACTGTCGGTAACGTCCGATTGGTGGGTTAAGATTAATTTAGCTGGGTATTTATTTCCAAAACGATTTTTTAAATTTAACGGCGAGGATGTAGTGTGAGTGAAAGAAAGGGTCCAGAGCGACTCCTTTTTTTGTGGCCATAGACTAGAGCTTCTCCTCATTGCTGCTGTTAATACAGTGCTCAAAATGGTAGTAGTACTGTTTTTAAATCGACCTTTTTCTTTTTTCTTTTTTCTTTTTTTAGGGGGGGTGCTTTATCGGCTTTCTCTCTGGGAATGGTTATGGTCAGTTTGTTATTAAAAAAAAAAAAAAATCTAACCTGTGTCAAAACATTATCTGTATATGTTATACAAAAATATTTAAAAAAATAATATTATATTATATAAAATTAGTGTTTGTTTATTTAATCTCTAAAAAATTAAGAAAAAAATAACAAAAAATACATTAATTTATGCTTTAAAAATATAATAATTTAATTTTTTTCAATAAATATTTATTAAAATAATGTAGTATTGTAATAATATTCCTTCTAATTTTTAGGAGGTAATACGAATAAACATTATTTTCATATTATATTATAAATTTATAATATAATATATTATTATATAATTAATTTTTTATTTAAAATCTACTTAAAATTTTTAATATGTTTATTTAATATTACATTATATTATAATTTTATAATTTTATATAATATCATAATTATAATACTATGTATAATTAATATACAGTAACTTTTCTTTTAGTTAGCCAAAAATATATTATGCAGTACTTTTATAATAAAAAAAATAAAAATTTTATAGTCCAATATTGTACTTTTATAAGTAGTTTCATAAAAAAAATTATAAATATAGCAACGTGCAACATTTTTAAATGTAGTCTTATATTGCTAAATTATATACTCAAAAAAAACAATTCTATTTCTCACTTTTATAGGTAGGATTTAGAGATAAATTTTAATTAATTTCATGTGTCAAACTACATTGTTTTTATTATTATTATTATTATTCAAAAGTACTATCATGCTTACTAGTAATTGCGATTTGTTTATGGGAGTGTTGGACACTTGGACCTACCATGTTTGGCAGCGTCACAGCGTGTTGCAATGCTAGCTAGCCTTATCCTGAATTTTATTTTCCTGTCATGAAGGCAGGCCATCAAGGTGGAAAATAATAATACTCTCTTAGTTGTTGTTTTAAAATTTTGGATCTTTTGTCCAGCGCTTGGTGGCCAATAGCCACCCCGGCAAGACGTGATTAGGACTAAAGAGGTTGGATCAAATCTCAAACCCCCTTCTTGAAAAAAAAGAATTTCACACTGTTTACAAAAAAAAAAAAAAGAAGTTTTGGATCTTTTGGATTGTTGGCCCTGGATGGATGGCCTTTGGTTTCTTTCTTTCTGTCTTCACTTGGAAGTAGCAACATTTATTGTTGTACCTGGGTCATGTGATTACTATGGAGAACTCATAAATATTAATAACGATAAAATTTAACTTGTTCATATACGTAACAGGATGCTGGATGGCTAACGTTGTGGCCTCGTGAAAAAGGTTTAATAGTGTGGCATTCAGGTTATGGCTTTAGGTTTGACTACTCAACTATTATTCCTCTCGATCTCTTTTTTTTTTCTTTTTTCTTTTTTATAATTTTAATATAATGTAATTACTCTTGCTAGAAAAAAAAAATGTTGGATGAGTCTTTGTGCTCAATATAAATACAGGATGAGGAGTTTAGAACGTTAGCTGGGTCTTCTTTGACCCACTAGCTAGTGAACTATCAATTTTATTCTTCTTGATAGTTGATAATAACTGTGGAGCAGGATTTCAATCCATTCATCTTTATTAATAAAAAAATCAAACTGTTTTTTCTTTTTAACAAATTTATAAAATGTTAGATTAGAACTGTTGCCCAAAAAAAAAAAAAAGAAATGCTCTTAACGGGTGGTATGAAGTCATTAGGTCGAATGATTAAGTGCAAAAAAAAAATTTAACTGTTTTAAATGTACTAATTAGATCAAGAATCATTAATCTTAATTTATCCTTTGTATGCCGTACTTTTTTGTTCTTATAAAGTAGTTGGACTAATAATGAATCATGATTCAATCTCTTATGTTTTGTCAAGTGATTTGAGTTATTAAATTTTAATCAAGATAAATTTACCCATAAGATAAAATAACATGTATTTAAAAAAAAAATTGATAGCTTTTTGCCAAAAACAATTAACAAAGTTGTTACAATTATTGAAAATCTTTTTTTTTTTGTTTCTATTAACATGAAGAATTTAGAAAGGTAGATTATTTTTTTCAAGTTGTTG